AAAACATGATGCTCACAAATCATATACTGGCCATTTTTTAAGGTCTAGCTTGGTAGAAGCATGAAACATAAAACTACAAAACTAACTATCCCTTTAGGACTTAATTTACTTATTTAAGAATGTAGACATACCCATTTTTCAGTGTCCCTGCTAGATACAGAATTACCACAGCACGCGTCCTTTTGATAAAGATTAATTAATGAGTGCTAGGCCCACACTCCTGGCTCAGCCCTGACGGCCTGCCTTGCTTCCCCGAGCTGAGGCAGGCCGGGTGGGGCTGCCAGCCACCTTAGCCCTCACATCTAAACTCCACCCTGGAGGGGCCACTCTGTTGCAAGATTCCTCATTTGTTCTCGGACTGCTCTCCTTCCCATACCCTCAGCCTTAGGGGGGAAACAGAACAAAGAACACATTTGAGTTTGGCAATATTGTTACATCTGGTGAGATGTCCCATCATTTTGGAATGATTCCTGCAAACTGATTCAGACCCCAGATTAGCCTAAGCATGGGGTCCCCCATTCTTGTGTGTAGAGAGGTACTGGGTTGAACTAAATTGAGTGTAGGAATTGACATTTTTACAGAAAAGCTTTATTTTTCTCTCTCCCTCCCACCCCTTCCCTCTCTTTTCTTTTTTTCTTTTTCTTTTTTTTTCTTTTGCATGTCATCTGCATCTTTCCTCTTTACACAGGTCTTTGACCATTATATTCTATAAAACTCAACATGTTCACATTCTAAATGACCCTGACTCCAATGGGAAGGAAATATAGGTGTTCAGCTCTTATTTCTTCTTATTAAAATGTGGGTATGTTGAGTAGAAGTTGTGTGAGTAGACAAGATGAGCTGCAGATAAGAGAGCAGAGCAGAAAGAGACCAGGACCATAAGGAACTTGTTCCTGCGAGAAGTTGTAAATAAGGGACTTTACAGGAATTCAGAGGCGTCCGAGTAAGCCCTAATGACCAGCTACCTGCCCGCGGGTGGAGGAGAGGCACACTAAAAGCCGAACAGCAAGGCCTGAGACATGGACCTTACAGAAGGAAAGACAATGACCACATTGAAAAACAGATCTAAAGAGCTATGTAAGTGCTATTGTGTTCCGTTAAGCACTTTTTCCTTCTTTTGAATATCTTAGGTACATATGTATACAAAAGCCTCACTAATCTTTTACAGTGACTAACAGAGTGTCTTACCTGTGATAATTCAATAAATGTTTGCCTTGTTATAAGCAATTTGTGCTTTGTTGTAAGTAATTAAGAACATGCTTTTAAGTACTCCTTTTCAAGTTGGCTTAATGCTACACTGCAGGGTCCTCAAAAGGCTTTGAAATAAGGATTATGGCCAAGACCCTAGATAAGGTATTGACGAATGAGCAAATCAACCCCTTTCAAGAGACATCAGTTCTGTGTGGTTCACATAGTTAACAGTCCAACAAAATAGTATAATACTGTGCTAGCATTCTCTCCCCACCCCCTCTCATCTCTCTTTTTGTTAAACCAAGCAGACATTCATACTTATATAATAGTAGTTCTAAATCTTTTTGTGGTCAGATCATTTTGGTAAGGCAAAAGTGTCAATAGACAAGTTATTACTATATTCCCCTCCTGAATTCTTAAAAAATGAACAGGAGGGATAAGGTTCTGATGAGATTTTAGTAAGGTATTTAATTCATTATTGACTCATGCCAGGAACGAAAATAATGCCATTCTCATGTCATAGGCATGAATACAGTAACTTTCATTCCCCCAAACTAGCCAGCTAGCTGCATTCCCTTCCTTTTAACCTTTCTAACAAAGGGCCCTCCAGTATTGATTTATCTAATAATGAACTTCCAATATGCTCCCCAGTGCTAGATCACATTAAAACTAGTCTCCTGTACATAACATTGTATTGTAATGTGTATTCCATTTTTGAATGAAATCATCTTGTATTTTCATAACATTTTATAATTTTTTAAAAAAGATTTTTTGATTTTTATAGAGAGAGGAAAAGATAGGGAGAGAGAGAGAAAAACATTGAGAGCGAAACATCAATCAGCTGCCTTTTGCGCGACCCTCACTGGGGATCTAGCCTGCAAACCCAGGCATATGCATGCCCTAACTGGGAATCAGACCAGCAGCCTTTCAGTGCGCGGGATGGCACTCAACCCACTGGACCACACTGGCCGGGGCCAACCATTTTATTATTTTGATCAATTAAATTAATTCTTATAATAAAGGTAGGATGATGCTGATCCCCCTTCTGAATTAATGAAATTTCATAGAACTGTAAGTATAGCTTTAGTAGCAATAATATTTCATTTTATTCAATAATTTCAAAGTTATTAGGTGTTGTACTCATATCATAAGGCTGTTAGCTGAATTCTTCAAGTAACTGCAATAGATTCTCAACTATTGTAGATAAATGGAATTTGTTTTAGTCAAAGAAATCCATGATCTGGAAGACTCCTGAGTGCATATATTGCTAACCAAAGTTTGAGAGTAACAATATTATTTATGGCTTCTTCAATAACAAGCCAGATGAAATGGAACTGGTTGTTATGCTTTTCCTTATTTAATTTTCCTTGGTTACTTAATCTTCCTGACTACTTGTTTGTTTTGAAGTTAATTACCTTGCCTAATACAATGAATGTTAAATAACGAATTAGCGTTTACCACATTTAATTCTTATTGAAATATATAGAAATCTGTTCGTTTGGGGCACAATGATATTCTAATCTGATGTCTTCTATAATTCTGAAAATACGTTAATGAACAGCAGGGGGAGTTCAAACTCTAGTATGAAGGTAAATACCTTCTAGTTGAAACCACTTTCACAGCCACACACCTAAGTTTAGGATAAAAAACAGCCATTACACTAATTTCAAAAGACCTGACACCCTAATATCCTCCCCCTTCCCAAAGGCTGTTGCAGTAAAACGATATTGCTTTTTTAAGTGGCACCTTTTGAGTTTTCTTTTCATACGAAAGAAGTCTGCCAAGTTAGATATTATTTCACTGAATTTTCCAGGCCTCTAGCTGTAAAAAATAGTTAGTTCTAACACAGTAATAAGTGTAGTGACTGTTTTCACATTTGAAACTAAACTCTGATTTCAGTCTGAGGGTAAATGAGTAAAACCCAGAAATGACACCGTGGAGAGTTAGCTTTGAAAAAACTTCTAGATTAGTGGTCAACAAACCACGACCTGCAAATGTGGCCTGCTGGCTGTTGTTTTTAAAGAGACTGCACTGAAAGACATCATGCTGTTCTTTTATGTACTGTTACTCTCTATGGTTGTGTTCTCCAAATGGCAGAATTGAGAAGCTGTAGCAGAGACCTGGCTGAAAATATCTACCACTGGGGCTCTTTACCGAATAAGTTTTTCTACCCTTGGTCTAGATATTTAATGAAGCCCTGGACAAAATACTGACCATTTCCCCCCCTAAAATTTTAGTTTTTGAAATCATAAATTAAAAAGACCACTTCAGATTTTACTAGTAAGAATGGCAAAACAATGGATTTCAAAACACATGTGGTCTGAAATTAGAAAAACAAATTGGGAGAGAAAAAAAAAAAATCCACACACAATCTTGATTTCTTTTAGGTACAAAAGTCAGCAATACATTACGTTCTCCATCTGCTCAAAATTAAAAAGACAACCAGCTCCTTTTTTCTTTTCTTTTCTTTTCTTTTTTTTTTTTTTTTAACAAAGATAAGAAATATAAAAATCTAGTCATAAACAGCCTTCAAGGTACAATTAAAAACCAACTAGTGGGGTCCATCTTTTGGAGGATCAATGAGTTCGGGACTTAAAACACTTAAATTACCACCACGTTGTCAATTTTCCAGTGGCTGCAGCGGTAAGGAGGAGTGTACACAGCAGGTGTTCCATCCTGTCGTCATCCAAAATGAACTTGACTCTCTTCAGGATACAGGAAGTTGTCAATGTCTCCATGGCACTCAGCATCATTGTCTCCATCCGATATGAAAAGAGGCAGTTTCTATGGCAATACTGGTTAAGTGCCTATCATGCTGCACTAATATAGTGCAAAAATGTGCCTTCCATTCAGCAAAAAAAGATGCAGGCAACCAGTCTGAATGTGGGGAAAGTAGAAACTTACTGTATTAACACAAGCAAATGAGTTTTCCAGACGATAACCACTACAAAATACTGAACGTGAGGGTTCTTCTAAGATACTAGTACAGGTCCAGCACTTGTACTTTGGAGAAAGACAAGGATTAAGTCTTATAAAAAGTCTTTGCCTCTGAAAAGCTACCGTCAAACCACCAAATGATGAATTTGCTCAATGAGTTTTCTGCTCAAAGGAGAGCATTAAAATGGCTTATGACCAGGTATATAATCTGACATAATAGTGTGTATCATTCAGTTGCGTGTACATGATGTTACGTTTGCCTATGATCTTGGTATAAGCTCTTCATGCTAAAAGGTCACTATGGGTGAGCACTGCAGACAGAGGCGTGTGTCGGCATTCCAGATGGCCACTCCTGCCACCCTATTTCAGAGATGAAAGTACTTTGCCAGTTGGTAGGTTTCATGAACGATCACACAGACTCTCAGAAGGCAGTACGTATTCAACTCCACCTCCTAGAGCAGTGGTCGGCAAACTCATTAGTCAACGGAGCCAAATATCAACAGTACGACGATTAAAATTTCTTTTGAGAGCCAAATTTTTTCAACTTAAACTTCTCCTAACACCACTTCTTCAAAGTGGACTCGCCCGGGCCATGGTATTTTGTGGGAGAGCCACACTCAAGGGGCCAAAGAACCGCACGTGGATCTCGAGCCGCAGTTTGCCGACCACGGAACTAGACCTCTCAGGAATGAAGGTTTCTGTGTAAGTGTACCGTATCGATATCTCCGATGGCACTGTGATCTTCTCTCTTATCAATGATGCTCTTTTGAAAAGGTACGACAGGCTTTAACCCACACAGCTGGGAATAGCTCTGCGGCCTCTCCTGCAAAGTCAGAAAGCTGAAGCTGGCTGCCGCCGGGACAGCTCAGACTTTACATGTCTGCATCGCCATCATAGGCTAAAGTCAAAGGTTTCAGTCGGTTGTTTTGCCTTCTTTGGGGCTTCTTTGGCTTTTTGCTGTTAAAAAAAAAATCATGAAAATTGGGAGAAAAAAAAATCAATCTTCCATTGTACATGTTGCCATTTTAAATGAAAAAAGTTTGAAACTTATTGATAAACCTAAACTACTTACTTGCCTAAATTCAAACTTAACATTCAATTTTCTGCTATCTTTTGAATAAACGTGAAACAGAACCCTTCAAATATGTTAGTATACTGTAAAGGATTAATTATCCAAATAGAATTCCTCTAGTACTAACAACAGATATCACAGTGTAATCATTTATATTTGACCAGAATCCTTTATAAATAATACATAATTTATAAATAATGCAAGGTAGTTAAATAAGATCAGGTACTACCATAATGTCTTTCTCTGATATTAATTCAATATAAACATCAGCGTCTTCTCTTGCATAACCAAAAAGAATGTACTTAAAAAGATGGCCTTAGGCAGCTCTGGCTCATTTTCAGAAACTAAATGACTCATCGATTTAGTAGTTTTTAGACTATCCAAGACTAAAGTTATGTTTATGTAGAACTTCAGATGAATACTAAATAAATGTGGAATACTTATTTGAGACATTAGTTTGCCATTCCTGTGTTATGGTTAATTGAACGTGTTTCCCCTAAAAGAGAAATATTTTTTCCTCTTAAATGTTGAAATATTTAAACACTCACCAAGCTAGATAAATCATGGAGACAATAAAGATGAGTAACACCAATGCCCCAGCCGCTACACCGTAAACCCAGGTCTTTAGTCTCCCATCTAAGAAGAATGGATATTAATCATTAATTCACATTAGTCTGGCATGTAAATGACAGTCTTTAACGATGACCAATGGGCCAGTTCACATACGACCAAGTCCTTTCAAAACTCAAAGTGAATTATTGCTTAGGCACAATTAATGATTAATGCAACGCTGCTACTATGACTTAGATGCTCCTTCATTAAAGATAGAATATCAATGAAAATTGAATTAAAAGGCAATAAGTATATTTTCAATTTGAGTGCAGCTTTCAAGTTATTATATCTAAATTTCTGCTGCTTCTTATCTGAATTTTACTTCAAATACAATTTGTGCATAATGCTGCCTTTTCTTTTGAGTTTCATTTTATTTTGAGATTGTACTCACGAGAAAAGAAAAACAAAACTGTAATGCAATTTCAAAGAAGTCCCACGACTAAGAGCTGATGCAGACAGGTATTTGCACATCAACTTGGTCATTTTTACATTTTTTTCCCAGATAAACTGGAAATGAATGTATTTAACAATTTGGAGAAGTAATAATCTCCTATCTCGTTTATGCTTACAGTCCTTTAGAGCCGATTTGACGATATCATTTGCAAAAATAACCAAGTTTGATTAACATATAAAATGATCTCTAAGTAACTTCCACCTTTTCTATTATAGACATTCCCTCCTTTTCCTAAGTTTATGGTACACTTGCTTTTCTAGAAAGATCTTTGATTATCACCTGCATTTGATAGCTGAAAGAAATCCGATGACTTCCTGTTTTATGAAAAAAGGCGGAAAGCAACAGCAGTGCAGTGAGTGTTCCAGAGGCAGCTTGCCCCCAGGGAGCCAAAGGCCAGCCACACTCCTTCCCTGGGAACCACACCCAGCATCTCAGCACCAAGCCGCCTGCGCTCTGAACTGTGTGAGCATCTGTGCTTTCTCTCGATTTACTTTGTGCATCTGTTAGCAAGATGTGCCCTAACGCTGAGAGAGCTCCAACGGGTATTTCCTTTAGTGTAAGACTGGACAGAATTAACATATTTGGTATAAATTCATATGTGGTTTTCTGGATCCAAGGCGGCTCACACTTTTTTTTCCATGTAATTTAGTGGTAACTGCCTCTTTATGCCATTTGGGCTTAAGAACAGTTTCATAGGATCCCTCTCCTTCTGGATAGCAGGGGAATCTGCATACAAAACCAGAGAGGGCAGGCCTCCTCATTTGGTTTCCTGATCTCATTCTATTTGAACTTCTCAGTTTTATGTTCTGAAACACTTCAAGCATAAGATACTGTTCATGACTTTGCCAGCTTAATTTGGTCCTCACATTAACGTATATATTCCGTTGCGTGCATGCAATTAAACATATGCTAGTGTCACATTATAGATTGGGCAAAGGAACGCTGGTTTAGTCCACATTTGAAAGCCACTGAAAGCAAATCATGTGACACTTTTTTTAAAACTTCATTTGCTGGAAATAAGTTAATTTTTTAAATATCATTTCCTGTCAATTCTAAAGATTTAAAAAATTTAAGCCAGGGTGTGAAATATAAAAAGCTGTGCCACTGCTGGGTTCATCTGCCCCGAGTGTTTTTTAATTAATATCATTTGGGTTTTTCAAAAACCAAAAACAGAGTCTAAACATACATTTGTAGTATATTAAAATGTTTACTTTAGGGAAACTATATATATTAAACCAAGTGTGACAATACTACTATTCTCTCTTTTTAAAACCCAGTTTGGATGAGGAGACCCACTTGGACTCTGAATCAAGGTCAAGGTGGCTAATGGCCACTTGCTGGCCCACCATGTTGAACCCTGAGAGTTTCCATGTTTACACAAACTGGGTTTGCAAAATGAAGTATTTTTTTTTTTCAACTAAAAACCTACTAAAGTAGGAAGACTGTAGTTAAGTGTAAAATACTTAAAAAAAAAATCCCAATAGTGATTCTCCGGGCAAGATAAGTGTTTTGACTTAATGCATTAAAAATAAAGATGTGTTAGTTATTCAAATTTCTTTCTCCTTTCTCATGTTTCTGACAGAGTTATAAAGTAGTCAATGCCCTGCTTTGCCTGGAGATTTCCTTTGGTAATGAGCTAGTGAGTCCTCTTGGTGTGAGAAAAAGTGGCACGATCTTAGTTACCACCCTCACCCTTAGCTTATTTCTAGGGATAAGTGTATGGTTGAACCCATTGGCGAGAGAAAGTGTACACAGTGAGAAGGGCATTTCATTGGGCCTTCAAGCCTTTGCCTGCAGAAGCTTCAAGTCCATTACTAGACCCATTAAGAGCAGCCTAATATGACAAGGGTCTGGTCAGTCTCCAAGACGGTCCATCTAGACAGGAAGGCTCCATGCTTGCCCTCACGTATTTGGTGCTAGTATAGATTCTGAGCTTCTGTGCTAACACTAAGGCCTCACAGAAATCAGTCTGACCACCTAATGTCCCCCCACCCCTTGGCACGGAACCACATGGCTCATGTTCCTATTTTGAGTTCAAATTATTACTGCTCTGTGCTCAAATGAAAAGTTCTTGAATGTCTTTATAGTTTTATTTGTAATGAATGATAACAGCCTCCCCCCACCCCCCAATCAGTATTTTCCTTGTTAGATTTCTTTGTTCAATGTGAAAATAATTACACTTGTAAATTTAGGACTGAGATTGAATAACTAATCTCAATCCTAAATTTTTTTTTTTTCTCAGAAGAAAGGTATTTCATTTCTCTCAACTTGGAGCATGAGTGCTTTTTTCATAATGATAATAAAGATATTGTAAGATTCTATGGAACATTAGAACAAATGAGTTTCGGTGAAATAATGAGTAGCTCCTATGAAAATGCTAGCTGATTTTGTCATCATTTGGTGTTGGGTAAGTGTATCATTAAAGAATTCTACATCAAGATCTTCTAGTCACTTCACCTGGCCCCAGTGGCTGTAGAAACCAGGTCCTGCCTCGTCCTTCCGGGTTCCGGGAGGGCTGGGTTGGGTGCACTGCCCGGCTGGTTTTCACGTCTGCTCTCTTGTCCTCCACGGTGGGGATCGCCACCACGGGGATCAGAGTGCACTGCTCCAGCGTCCCGTTGGAAGACAGGACTTCTGTGTACCCCTCTTCACAACTGCACGCCCTCGTCTGCGGGAGAGCAAGAAGAGATCTACTTTGCACACAGGTGAGTTTGGGAAGCCTAACGGACCTGAGTTGAAGGGAAGGCTTGAATGAAATACTGTTTTGGGAATTTGCTACATGGAATTTCTGTCTCACTACATTAAAAGAAAGAACACACTTTTTGTACCGCACACAAGCTTATTCTAACAATAGAAGCAAGGGCATCTTGAATTGTTTATATTAATAAAAGAGGTACCAAACTAGAATTTTTATGCCTCAAGACATGCCTTTTGTAAAGGGAAATGACTGCACAAGAGGCGGTGGGGTGACGATGATGAGGCGGCTTGTCTGCCCTAATGGATTCACACATACCTCGCTACAGTACGAGTGGGGTTGGCTACACGGCGGGTGACAAGACCTGTCGGCATCAGGCTGGTGAACCACCAAACAGCCCCCTGCGGAACAGAAAACCACATTGTGACAAGTCATATCTCTTGCGATGATAAGAATACACTGTTGTTACGGGCTTGTCTTTGAACCCTAAACCATGCCGGAACTCCCACAGATTTTCCTGAGAAATATTCAGTTAACCTTGACCATTGTATTTAGGAACTCGAGGTGCTCTTTACTCAGAGGAGATGGTGAAGAGCAGGTGTTGAACAGATGATTGAAAACTCTGACTGCACACAGGCTATTTCCAAGGCCAAGTCCAGCACTCTAAAGCAGATTTAATTTTCTCTTAAAGGTAAAATCCTTTCTTGGTTAATTCAAAAAATAGTTTTCATATCTCTTTAATTTATGGTCTACCACACGAATGCATTCTTTATAATGTGCATCTTTTTTTTCAGAAAAATCACTTTAAGAATTTTGGGGGGGACAGGAAAGAAAACAAATATAGCTACTAAGTGTGTGCTGGCACTGCTGTTTCAACTTGACATTGCAGCTCTCTATTGATGCCTCTTCTGTCTCCTCCTCTTCCAGCATAATAGCAAGTGTGCCTACGTGGTTATATCAAGATAGGGATAGATGTCATAAAGTGACATGGAAGGAACTCCGAATTTCAAGCCATTCTTGTTCAGTGTAACAGAACTTTAGCAAAGCAAAGTTTTCCCTTTATGTAAGGAATCAATGATCCTGTGGAATTTCTCAGAGTGACTATTGCTAATTCTCAATATTATAAATTAAATATTCATAGAAAAAATGTTATGAAAGCAGTTAGTCATTGCAAGGCAGTAGAAGTTAAATGGCCACATGGAAGTCACATCATTAAACACATAAGAAAAAAAAAGAAAAGGAAAACAACAGCCTGAGTTTCTTATAAGGGTAACTATTCTTAACATTAAAACGGTCCATCGAGGTAGGTAAAATACTTTACAGAATTGTCTACATCTCATAGAGAATTGTATCTCTCCTAAAACATGGAAAAGGAATGCATATAAAGTTGATCACAAGTCATTTATACGTTGGCTTTTTGGTATCAAACAGTAGTATGAAATAAAAATCTTGTATATCATACTGCTTTAAAAAGAAATTGAATATATGATTTCTACAGGTATGTCTTCTAAAATTTGACTTACCTTGGCATTGGGGAATAGCCCCAATTTCAGGGGGACAAGAGATTTTTAACATGCAGAAGGAAAGGCAGACAAGTATTATTTGCATCCTTATTTGGGAAACAAAACACATTGAAAACTAATAGGACCCTCTGGGGAAGCTTAAAATTATCTCTGAAAAACTTTAAGAAGAATGTAGACATTCATTTCCAACTACTGAGCTGAGTGGGCCATGCTTCCGGTTCAGAAAGACCCACTTACCCTTCTCTCAGAGTGGTGAGGTTGGGACAGATTGTTCTCCCAGAAAATAACACTCAGAGAGCAAAGGGTTTCCTGGAAGGTCTCTTTTCTTGGTCATGCATGTGTCCCCTGGCAGTTGTTACTACCCAGGGTTTCCTGACACAGATTTCTCATACATAAAATCTTATCGTTACAAGAATACTGTTTGACATCCTGCTCCCACTTTCATAGGGAGGAAATGAGTAATTAGGTTTCAATAAATCCAGGTAATTTAAAATTCAATATAAAAATTAATGCTTTCCAGAGAGCACATTGATCCCTGCTCCAGTTATCTTACTGGATGTATTACAGCTAAATTTATAAATGGATAGACTCAGAGGCACCCAAATGCACATTACTTTTCTCCCTGCCAGAGGGTCAAAACAATGGCGCTAAGTCAGCAGGTCACCCTGAACAGATAACTGTCAGAGCTCATGCTACTGCTATGCTATGGAGATTCCTGTAAATCAAATCTATAAAAATAAATTAAGAAGAGACAACCGATCTTTGGATCCACATGTTTGAGGTTGAGGTTCTGGTTCCGACCTTGGTTTCTTTCTAGGAGATTTGCAAGGTGCCTCACCTCACTAACTATCAGGAGCCACTTTTTTTTTTTTTTTTTTTTTTCACCTCTTCAAAGGAATCCTTGCCTTTACTGGACTCAGATAAGGAAACTTTTAAGCACTGCAGATTAGAAGTTCTTTGGGGTAAATTTGGGTATAAAGGACACGCAAAAGTTCTGCACTTGGATTTCTTCTTCAGGTGTATATTTTTGTGTGGGGACAGACTGGGTGAGTGTTCAGATGCTCTGAGCTGGAGATTTAACAATAGGTTTTCCCTATTCTATACAATAAAAGGGTAATATGCAAATAGACCGAACGGCAGAACAAACAGTTGCTATGATGTGCACTGACCACCAGGCGGTAGATGCTAATCGCAGGAGATGGTCATCACAGGCACTGCCCCCTGGTGGTCAGTGCACTCCCACAGGGGGAGCGCTGCTCAGCCAGAAGCTGGGCTGATGGCTGGTGAGCACAGTGGCAGTGGCAGGAGCCTCTCCTGCCTCCGTGGCAGAGTTAAGGCTGTCCACCTGATGGCTTAGGCCCGCTTCCCTAAGCCATCAGTCAGACATCCTCGAGGGCTCCCAGACTGCGAAAGGGCATAGGCCAGGATGAGGGACACCCTACCCCTGAGTATAGGAGTGCACCGGGCCTCTAGTTAATTAATAAAAGAACTATAGAAATCATACATGTCTGAATTCAAGCAAGGTATCATGACTTATGTAATCATTAGAGGCTTGGTGCGTGAAATTTGTGCATGGGTAGAGTCCCTGGGCCTGGCCGGTGATTAGAGCCAATCTGTGGGGCAATCAGGGGCCCCTGCTGGCACCCACCTTGGTTGGCCTGGAGCCTGCGGGCTGGGGCAGCTCCTGCATTGTGCATCTGCCCCATGGTGGCCAGTGCACATCATAGTGACGGGTTGTTCTGCCGGTTGTTCTGCTGTTCAGTTGATTTGCATATTAGGCTTTTATTATATAGGATATTCCCTTGAAAGGATTTTGGTTTTGTGAGTGTATTGCATTTTAACGCACAGAAACAAATAGAGTCAACAAAAAGTTGATTATTTCTTATCATGTAGTGAGTTATTAGTATGTACATTTTCTAGTAAAAACAATCTGAGAATTATTTACTTACAATAATCATTTGTTAGAGTTAGACAATAGTTTAATTAAATAAATTCTAGCAGCAATGTCTAAAATGGCTGGTTGAGGAAGAATTTAACTGAGATGTTAAAAGATAAAGTAATTGGTCATTGGCCCCAGATAGATATACAGCTCAGGTGTCTTGAATCTAACCATGTGTTGAATACTGAATGTCTTTGTTGTCCTAAACTATTTTCTCTAACCTACTACACGTGGGTTACAGGAAAACTTTCAAAGAACAAAGAGAAATTGGAGGTTTACCTGTTACATTTACACCATCAGACCTTTGACACCAGACTGTTCGGGAAGAGCCTTTCCAAGCACTTGCCATCCATTTATACTCATAACACTGTCCATCTGCAGGGACACAATACACATTAACAAAAGCATTGTGCTGTCCAGGAGGATAATCATGGAGACAGAGTATTAGTTAAATATTTATAAGCAGTTGAAAAGTGATAAAAAGGCCATCTCAAATGATGCAATTGCCAATTTGTTGTCCTGAAGTTGCCATATGTTATTCAATTCCGATATTCACCTAAATCCCAAGTAATTTTCCACATCTGCTGTTATACTATCTCATGTAAACCTATATTTTAATTTTATATTTTATTGAAACATTATGAAATATCAAAGAGTTAGACAAGGACAAAGAATAACTACAAAATTTCAATTACGCATCATGCCATTTAGCAAATACTACCATTTAGTTATATTTGCTGTAGTCTTTTTTTTTTTTTGCTTGTTGATGAGTGAAAAATAACACATAAACTTGATGTCCTATTACATTCCTTTCTGATCTCCCTCCATCCCTCTCCAGCAATACCCACTATTCTGAAGTAGATAGATGCTGTTCTGTGACCTTTTATATTCTTTTGATATAGATATACTATAAATATGTATCTATAAATGATAAAAGGCATTATTTTTAGTCAGGCTCAAAATTTAAAAAGTATTATACCCTGAATCATTCTAAAACTTAATCCATGTTACAGATGAATTATTTCTATGTGATTTTAATGTAGATATAGTCAGTTTGTTTTTAGCTCCTATATAGAATTTCATGGTAGTAATTGCTATAATTTATTGCACTGTTTCCTTTAAGGGTGGACTTGAGGATTGTTTTCAATTTTTGCTATTATATCAAGTCTCAGTGGTCAACCTTATGTAAGCCTCCGTGTGTATCCTTAAGGTAACTTTCTAGAAGGGACATTTTTGGGTATCACTGTAGAGATAGCTGGAACTTTAATAAATGTAGGTCATTTTTTTCCTCTAAAAGGAGGCCATTTACATACCCACCAGTAGAGAATAAGGACTACCATTGCTCTAAACCCTCACAGACCTTTATGATGTCCAGATTTAAATTTTTTGTCAGTCTTGTGAAAAGCTATCTTGCCATTTTAAATTGCAGTCTTATGATTGCTAAAGCTATCAAACAGTAACAAAGATGTGTGGGGGCATTTAGATTGCCTCTTATGTGAATTGAGCATGTACATGTATATCTTTTGGCCTTTTTCCTACTGAAATCTATACTTTTTTTTTTTCTTATTGAATTGTGGGACTTCTTTATTCTAGAACAGCAACTCTTAGAGTGTGGTTCAGGAATCGTAGGTGACTTTGACATTCTTTTAGAGCATGTGCAGTGACATCTGTGTAGATTTTTTTATATACGGGGGGAGGGGAGAAAGCAAAAGTCGGGAATATGCAAAAACAGTTTACTTTTTTATTATTACTTATTGATTATTGTATTATTTTTCATATGAATAACTGTAAAGCTACTATTTTTGCCCAACGGTGTACATAAGGTAAGTTAAAATTGCAATTGATTGAACAAAAGCAGGTAAGGAATTCAGCTGTATTCCTTTAAGCTACATATAGAGATTTGAAATAGTGTAAAACAAGATCATGCTTGCCGCTCGCTAAACTTATTTTCTATTTTTGAAAATAATTTTTTTCAGAAAATATTTATAGTAACATATAGTTGGTTTATGATTATCTCTTACCTAATAATAGACAAACATGTAAAATTGACCGTACCTCTGCTACTCCCACAACCAATCAGGAATGAGTGTGAAAATCAACTGGACAAATATGGCAGGCTAATTTGCATATGCAGGTGCTGAGTGACTAGCCCGTGGGAGGTGGGGGATGCCTGCTATGAGGGAAAGGGAGGGGGACTGAGGGAGCTACAGGAGTGTTACTCCATCTGGGAGCTGGGACTTGGCAGCTCCTGTGTGGCCTGAGAGTGGAGACTTGACGGCTCCCAGGCAACCAGGAGCAAAGCCAGGGGAAGGAAGGCCTATTCTTGCATGAATATTGTACAATGGGCTTCTAGTTTATAATAATAAAAGCATAATATGCTAATTAGACTGGACAGCCGAATGACCTTCCAGATATCCTTCTGGACGACCTTCTGGACGAAGCCAGGGCTGTGAGGGCCAAGGCAGCTGCAGTGGCTGCGAGGAATTTCACACATCTGGCCCTCTAGTTTAAAATAAACTAACAAACATTGAGCAGTTTGGGATCCCTCACTTGCTAAGAGTATATAATTATCTTATTTTGAAAAAGTTCACGATTGTTCTAGACATTAATCCATTGAAATTAATTGACATCCTGAGTATCTTTTTTTTATTTATTAATTAAAGTATCACAAATGTGTCCTTATCCCCCCCATGGTCCCCTCATCCCCCCAGTCCTGCCCCCACCCTCACCTTCACCCCCTGATGTCTATGTCTATCACTTATGCATATATGTATGCATACAAGTCCTTTGGTTGACCTCTCCAATTTTAAGTCTGTGGTTTGTCTAGTAACCTTGTTTATAGTCTATTTTACTGTATAGAAGATTTAAGTTTAAAGGTATTTTTATTTTTTCCAGTTTTGTTTGTGTTTTTGGTGTCATATTAGGAGATCTTTCATTACATTCTGCACCGCCCCCCCCCCCCGCCCACACACACACACACACACACATACACTCAACTTTGTTTTACTATAATACTTAAGATTTCACATAAATGGGAGGTGTATGTTTCTTTACATTTTGGCAAACCTCATAATTCAAATCACTTAAGTTTTACCTTGTGTGCATATGTGAGTACATATTTGATAGATTTGAGTTTTTAATAGTTATAAAATTTGTGGTTTGGCTTCTCTATTATTCTTGGTAAATTATAACATTATAAATAGTCTTTAAGTTTTAGCAAAATTTACTCACAGAATGATAGTTTTCTAAACACTATTTAATCTGTAACAATATCAATTTTCTTCAGTGATTTTGCATGAGGTGGCCTATTTTGTTAGTTTGGTAAAAAAGCAAGCTATTGATTTTGTTGATTATCTTGCTTCTTTGTTTTCTATCTCAATGAATTTGTATTTATCTGTATTGGTTACACTGTTCCTCTTTTCTGTCTTTTCTTTAATTGAGTTAAAAGCTTAGCTCATCTTAAACTCTTCTCCCTCCTATCTGAGCATGAAAGGATTTCAGTTCTAAGTAATATACAACATTTGACATGTAATACTCTAAAAGTGTGGTTTTTCAGTTTTTCTTCTCTATGTGCTTGGGAAAGGATATCTTTTTCAATTGTAATGTAATTGATGTATAATTTTATTTAATTTTCATTTTAGGTAAACAATTCTCTTTCTTTCACTTGGAAATTACATCATTTATTATAATCCCTGACCCTTCTTTCCCAGGACATATGGGATGTTTTATCTGGTAAGTTTGGGAAGATTTAACTGACAAGGTAGATAATTCTATTTCAGACAATTTGGCTTTCATTTTAAGCATTCTATTCAAACTTCTAAGCTTTCTCCTCCAACTTTAATAAAATTGTGATATTTTTATTCCTGTTTGCTATTCTATGCCATACTCCTTCTTTTCAAATATAAGCAGGAAGGAGAGAGTTGTTTGCTGAACCCTACATTCTCCACTACACAGCAATATTTTGTTTCATTTAGACTTGATTTATATTCCCAAACTATGACATTTTAATGCTCTGTGGTTCTTCAAAATGTCATGTATTGCTTGTATTTGGTGGATGGCTCTAAATGTATGTACACTACAGATATGTATATTCAAATAGGTTTTTATCAAATTTAGAGTAATTTTTACCAGTACTTTGATTTATCAATTTCTGAAAATTTAGTAAAAATCTCTTATTTTGCTGTAGATTTGTAATTTTTATTTATTCATTCTTTTGATTGAAATACATTGAGTATATTTTTAGATTCAAACATGAACAGGAATGTTACAGGTGTACAAATAATGAGCTGCTAATTGTCTCAGCTTTTCTTAGCCCATAAAAGTGGAAGACATCTTCACAATATTGAACATCTAATTTATGGAGAGTGGTAATATTTTTTCCCTATAAATATTTAAAATTTATAATTATTCCCTTAATGCAATTCTCAATCTTAAGTGAGATCTTGGCCAACTCTGCTTATTTAGCAGAAAATTCTATATCTTGGACTTTTGCTTATTAACAAAAACACTAAAATAATTTTATATCTTGGACTTTTGCTTATTAACAAAAACACTAAAATAAGTATATTTCATGAATTATACCGCTTACCATCACATGATCTTGTTTCTAACATCTGCTCTGGGCACAGGTGTTGATTCTCTAGTTCTTGTATAATCACTGCTCTGGAACGGACCTGTATTCCACCAAAGCCGAGGTCCTCACCATTCACACAGGTCAGCTGACACAGGCTCCATGAAGACCAGTCCTTCAAATAACAGTCACCTGCAAAACATAGGCATGTGGTTTATACCCATCTCCATAAGAATAGCCAGCCAGATATCATTTTATTTTTAACTCCACTGGGCAACGCCTGCAAGTATGCCTGTCATATATGTAATATTTAGATAAGTATTGGGTATTTCCAAGTTTTTATGTAGCTTTATAAGTTTGTATTAATGTTATTTTCTGAGTGGATATTATGGGTATGGACTATGCATTGTGTAATGTTATCAAATGTAAACTACTGCTGTCTGTTATGATTCCCCTCTCCTAAGAGACAACAAATATTCGATTGAACCTACTACCACGCTTGTCATTATCATTGTAAAGAGGTTTATTAAATACTTGATACTCCTCAAAGAAAATCTAAATACACATAAAACTTGTTTCCTAGGTATTCATAATTCCAAAAGAGCTTAAAGTCAAAGTCAGAGGAAGCCGGCATTTATGCTTTCTTCCTGGTTCTTCTCAGAGGTGTGCAGCCGGAGCCAAATGAGCAGCTGCAGGAGTGGCAATAATGCACGCCATTTCCTTGATCTACATCTTCAATTCACTCTCCCTTTTTGTCAATTATTGTTTGAAGAATAACATGCATGCAATAATGTACATAATCATAAACACATAGATAGCTGAGTTTTCACAACCTGACTATATACTCATGTAACCAACACCCAAATTAAGCAACAGAGGATTCTCAGAATCTCAGGAAGTCCCCTATGTTACATATGGACTTGTGCCACGTGTAGTTTTTTACGTCTGGCTTCTTTCATTCATTCATGTTTGTTTGTGAGACCCAGCTGGTACATAATACTTCTAATTTGTTCATTGTTATTGTGGTACTTTCCTCTCATTGTAGGACTTACCCCAAGTTAGATATCCATTCAATTATTGATGGGCATGTGGAGAGCTATAAATTTTTCTTATTATGAACATTACTGTTGTGAACATTTTAGTACGAATCTTTTGGTGAAATTACATACATGAATTCCTCTTGGGTATATATTTAGGAGTGGAATTGCTGGGCCATAGTGCATCATGTGTTCAACATCGACATCTTCAAGCATTTTGCAAACAGGGAGGATTTAATGAAATGTACCTTTTGCACCTTTCCCATCTATTATTCAGGACTGATTGCTTGGTGATATTGTTCAGAGGATACTGAAAATTATGATAGAAATATTCACAATAGGTTCTTATCACTTTAATTATTCCAGCCATATCACATGAATAATTCATATAGCCTTTTATTTTGCTAAAGTTGCCTAATATTAGCACAAAGTTGCCTGGATACATGATTAATGAAAAAACTTCTTGTGCCATGATTAAGAAAGCCTTGAAAAAAACATGAATTATTGACCAACAAATACATACACTATTATTAGTAAAGTGGGGTGATTTTTTGTAGACTTTATTATAGTATGTCATTAATTCTCAACTAGTGTCATCTTAAAGGGCAGAAAATTCTTATAAATTTTGGAAGTGCTATAGAAAAAGGACTTAGTAAGAATTTTTAAGTAGTGTGATAACATTTTATAAACATTTCTCTTCCTAGGAAATGCTACTTTTGGGTAACTCAATTTTTAATTATGCAGAAGAAACTATTAAAATGGAAAAATTCCTGTAAATATGAATGTTATAACTTTACCTCAGTGATTGAAAACTACATGAATATAAACATATCTTTCTACTGGTAGGCTTTATCTCTATGCTTATATCACTTGACACATGCATTTTGTAAAAAGACAAAAACAAAAACTCAATAAATTATTTAATGATAGTATGTGAATGATATCATAACTACCCCCTAAATAATCCATGTCAGGATTCAAAGATTTAATCATGAGAGTGAGGCATTGTCTTTACTGAACCTATTTTTATATTTTGACTAAATAAACCATCAACATAATAAACTACACTATGCCTGCCAAAGATATGACAATTAAGTATATGAAATGCATTTCCTACTTCAATATTTCTCTCTTTAAAGCATATTAGTTCACATACTGCTCGCTTTAAAAAACCATAATTGAAGGAAACTATCACTGGAGGAACTGAAATGAATAAATTGTAATTTATAAGAGAAGAACAGCCTTCTCCTGGATTTGTAATTTCTTTAATTAGAATGATGTGTTGTTTGCCCTCTTTTATGTTATGAAGGGATATTTTAGTTTTCCTTCCCATCGTTTACCACATATTTTAATCTATGTTTATTTAGGCCATTATTGAATTAGCAACAGTTTCTCCCATCAGATGATAAGCTCTATGAGGACAGGGTAGGTTTGTTTCCTACTGCATCTCCAACCTTGAGCCCTGTGCCTAGTCTACAATAACATCTGATGAATAATCGAATGGGTGATCGTGCTGCAGGAAGTATGATGGAAATAAGTGGGGAGGCTCCACAGGACAGCATATGCCAATGCCTGAATACAAGAATTCCAGTACTGCCCAATGCTGTGGGTGTAACAATGACCCTGTTATTGGCGCTGGACTAGGTCTGTGATTGGCAAACTGCGGTTCGAGGAGGTGTCCCTTGAGTGTGGCAAATGATTTCATCAGAGGATGTGTGAGATCTAAACTGAAACCAGACCAAGCTGGGGAGCAGGAAATGGAACAGGGTAATGATTGGATCAGGAAAAGGTTATTATTGACAGGTGTGGGGATGTCAAAGAAGCAACACTTTTCCAAGGTCCAGAAATTCAGATTTAAAAAAAAAATTATTTAACCTTAAGTAGATGAAAATACCAGTGTGTGCAAATATTGTTACATATACACAATAAGAAATGCCCTCAAAGTCTAGCACATAGTTCAAGATATCAGGGGCTATTTTATTTACTGGTTTGTTCAATTATCAGTTCATCTTGATAAGCTATAAAAACTGCCATTACTATAACCTCAAATAATTTACTTGTTAAAGAATGAATGAATGGGCAACACTTCTTGTCACTATTTCCAGCTTTCAGACACTTAATTCTATTTAGAAAATTTAAAAAATGTAACTTATCCATCCTTAAAGCTTCCTTAAGTTATATCCTTTTTATATAGAAAATATATTTTATGCCCCATCATTATTTATCAAATCCTCATTTTTATTTTTTGAGATCTTATTCAAAGTAACTCATTTCTTAAATAGATATATTTTTTCTTATCATCATTATAAGCAAATTGGGAGAATAAAAATTTTGATTTGAGAGTAAAATATAGGTAATTCACTTTCACTTTTGTTAAGTTTGTTCTCTTCTACTCCACTAGTCATCTGTTGCCTCCAGATCTTTCTCAAGGCCTTAGGCTCATACTTGACATAGAGCTTATTTTGACCTTCTATCTACTCTAAAGTTCTCCGCACCAAGCCCAAATTCCTAAATATTAGCTTATCACTGTCTGCCAGTTAGTTTTTTACTATTTGATAGACAACATTTGCTTTCCACATTTTATTGCATGCACCCCTCCTGTCCAACACTGCATCAGAATGATCTCTTTCAATGCTTTCTTCTGTAATATTATTTTTTCACTCTTGAATGATAATTTAGTTGGGGACAGAATTTTAGGTTGGTGATTATTTTCCATCACATTTCAAATACAGTCATGCGCTGCATAAAGATGGTTCGGTCAACGACGGACCGCATATACGATGGTGGTCCCATAAGATTCTAATGGAGCTGAATTTCCTGTAAGAAATGGAAGGATATGTGGTTTAGGAGGAATTTTTTTTTCTTTGATGGGAGCAATATCTGTGGGGCTTGGCAACAGATTCCCTCTCATCCAGAGCACCTCAATTTTGAGTGTACAGATTACATCCCAAACAATCAGCCACTGACCTGTGTCAGCACAGAGCCTGTCACTCTATCACTATATATTCAGAGGGCACTACAATGCTTCCAGATCTAGCTTGTTGGTCTTCAGAGTATGTAAATATAAATTCTTATTGATCTTATACTAGGACACAAGTACAAAGGAGCAACCTTTAAACAAATTTTCAGGGCCACTGAAGCTTAGTGAAGCTTTCTGTGATAGTGTGGAGCCAGTCTGTCCCTGTAATTTGGAAATATTTTCAGGTTGAAATGGTGTAAAGCATAGATAAGTCTTACTTCTTACTGGGAAGAAGTAAGAAAGGGTCAATGGAACCAAGAACAAATTCTCAAGGTCAAAATATTGAGTCCTCAGTTCTACATCCTCTCCATGTTAAACAACCTCTATTTTTATGCAAACCACACATTTCCTTAATTCAACCATGCTCCAACATGCAATAGCCAAACCACATGGCCACGACCACCCCCAAGGTTCCCTTATCTATCTTGACTTCTCATTCCTACCGATCCTCTGGCCACTTTTAACTGCCCCCTGACTGTTACCATCTATGCCTTGCCTAGCAGTTTCTCCTCAATATTTTCAATACGTTCAGCCTACATCCCTGTTCATGGAGCAGCACTGATAGCTCGGATGTTCTATATCTGACCCTGAGAGAAGGAAGCGGGGGGGTGGAGGGGCTTATGGAACAGTGTTTATAAAGTCTACGGTAGTGTCCAGTAATGTCCTAGACCCGTGGTCGGCAAACCGCGGCTCACGAGCCATATGCGGCTCGAGAGCCGCGGTTTGCTGCTCTGTTGACTAATGAGTTTGCTGACCACTGGGACAGGGGCTTAATCACAAGAAATAACAACAGCCTGTGATTATTGCAATCGAGAGTCTAGGTCAGTGTTCGACAAACTCATTAGTCAACAGAGCGGCAAACCGCAGCTCTTGAGCCACATGTGGCTTGTGAGCTCCAGTTTGCTGACCGCTGTCCTGGTCCTTCACCTTCACTCACTGGCTCACCCAGAGCAGTTCCAATCCTGCAATCTCCACGCAGGGTCAGTGCACTGTACTGTGTACCCTTTTAAATATTCTATACGGTATTTTTACTGTTCCTTTGTATAGTTAGGTACAGAAATAAGACTGTGTTATAATTTCCCCTGGCTGTGCAAGGTTTGTAGCCTAAAAGCAATAGGCTCTACCAACATAGCCTAAGTTTGTGTAAGTGCAGTCTATGACGTCCACATGATGACGAAATCCCTTAATGATGCATTTCTCAGAACATATCCCCAATTGCTAAGTGACACATGACTGTATATTCCATTGTCTTTTGGCTTTCATTGTAACTAAGAAGAATTCTGCTATAATTCTAATTTTGTCTTCCAAAAGCAGGTAATCTGTTTTTTTTTCTTTCTTTCTGAATGCTTTAATAATACTCTAGTTTTCTGCATTTTCTGTTTTAATGATAGTGTATCAGGTTATGAATTCATTGTTGATCCTATTTGAGACCCAGAGGAAGCTTTCATTATCAGTACTAAAATTTTTTCTTTAGCTATCGTGTGTTTAAATGCTGCTTCTCTTATTTTCTATTCATATCATGTAGACATCCTAAATACCTGTCTGTATTTTGGAATGGAAAATACCTACCTGTATTTTCCATTCTTATTTTATCAACTTTCCTTTCATGCTTTTTCTGTCAAACACGAGCCTAAGGCCTTAATTACAGATGTTAAAACCTGCAGATGTTAAAACCCTAGAGGTGTGTGTGTCCACATGGGCAACATGGGGGTCCTAAACAAATAAGTGTAAGCATGACTATTTTCCATTATTCCTCACTCCTACCTGGCAGTAAGGAGGCAGTGCCCACATTCATCCACACATTGGTTTCTGCTTGTTACCAGATATGATTGTATGTGGGGATAAGCTGACATCCCTTAGCTTGGTCCCAGTCTGGGTAAGAAATGATCAAAAACATAAATTATGCTTTGCTGTTGTTACCTGGGCAAGGCTGGGTGCAGGTTTCCTCTAAGACCACTTTTTTATTCCCATCTATAATGGGTTCAACATCAGCACAGAATTCTTCATCCACTGCTTTGCTGAGATCATCAACCGACCCATCACTCACGACACAAGAAATGTTTCTTGTTCTGCTCCCTTCTCCACACTGGGCATCCTGGAATGAAGAAAGAAATAACTAATTAGGAAAAGAAAAATAATTCATTAGCAAGCTCATCACTTACAGTCATCTCCGCACCGCCGATTTTGATTGATGAGCAGTTGAGGAAGTACTTGAACCCTAGGGAAGGAGCTCCGCAGGAGCACACGATGAGCAATGCATTTGTTTTCTAGCCAAAAGCAGGCAAATAAATTTTCATTAAAACAAGTCGGTCTCCAGATGACTTACAAGATACAGGACAGGGAGTGCTTGTTATCAAAACGAATTAAAGCAGTCATGAAAGAGCGAGGCACCTAAAATCTTTAAGAGGAAGCACGCTGTGTGTAAGCTCTGAAAAATAATTCCGAAACTGTGTCTGCACACAAAAAACACACATTTCCACACGACGTCCTGGGATTTGATACCTGCACTTGGCATGGAGACCACTGGCCATATTGCCACCGATAGCAGGGCTTCACTGGGCAAGGCTTGGACTGCTCCATCAGGGCGGGGCACGGCCTTCCGTCACCCTGAAAGGGCTGTGTCACTGTCCGTCTTCGGATCATTTTCCCTTTAAGAGACACAGAGCGATGCGACATTAGTGACATGTTGCACAAGCAGGCATCTTGTGGGGAGAAGGTATCCCAGACTCTCCAGAGGAGATCTGAGGAACAAACAAGTCTCAGGTGTTTTAGAAAGAAAGACACATCGATTCAACCTTACTGAAATTTATTGGATGTGCCTGAAGGCAAGAGGGACATTTTATTTTGGGTTCGTTGACAATCGGCCACACGCTCATGAAGGTACAAACTAACCTGTGAGGCCACATGTTTGAGAACATTCTGACCAAGGAGACCACTCGGACAGCTGGCAGTTGACCGGGCATTCCACCATGCATGATGTGTTCATCTGCCAGTTCTTCTCCAGGCCCAGCTGAAAGGACAGAGGCAGACCTGTTGGCATTGACATGAAGGCATGACCACAAGGGATGGTGGATGGAAGGAGGAAGAAAGGGGGAGATAGAAATCGGGATGACAGGAAAGGAGAGGAGAGAGGAAGAAGAAGCAAGATGCCTAATAGAATAAAAAGGTATCTGGAGGACAAACACTCAAACTGTTAAAAATATAAAGTGAGAATGGGAGCTAAGGGACTAGGTTAAATGGAGGAAGCCACTTAATTTGATATACTTATATAGTGTTACTTTTCAAATATGCAATGAATAAAAGTAGATTTAATCTCCAAGTAGGATGAGTTTCTCTAAGTGAGAAACAAATAAGTGTAAGCATGGCTATTTTCCATTATTTAAAAACCAAGAGAGTCATCAATATATAGATCTGTAATTGTATCTTTGGGACACCTTGTTTTTATCTGTGCACGTTAAACAGAAAAGCAAAAGGGAAAGGTTTTCAAGACAAATTGCTATTCAAAACTAATGACATAATGTTTTGAAATACTATAAAATATCAGTTTTTAGTACACTACCTCTCTAAAAAACTCTGGGTCACTAGACTTTTTCTATTTATATATATATATTTTTAATTACAAAGATTTTTTTTCTTCTAAAACTGATCTCAAGCTAACAGTGATATAATTTAATTTAGTGTTAATCTCTCATCAGATAATAAAGTGCCATTGTACTGGCACTGACTTCCAACACTTATTCACATATTTTACTTTTAAAATATAAAATGAGATTTCAAACTCATCTACTGTATATGCAAACATTTAGAAAGTCTAAAGTACAAAGTAGCAATGAAATAGAAAAATTTGAGTGCATGCTAGAAGAATATAATTTTTTAAAAATATACCTTTATTGATTTCAGAGAGAAAGGGAGAGGGAGGGAGAGAGAGAAACATCAATGATGAGAAAGAACATTGATCGGTTGCCATCTGCATGCCCTCTACTGGGGATATAATAGAACTGGCAACCTGGGCGTGTGCCTTTGACTGGGAATTGACCCTGGGATCCTTCAGTCTGCAGACTGATGCTCTATCTACTGAGCCTAACTGGGTAAGGCAGAATATAATTTCTTAATTTAATATTCCTTGGAATTTTTGAGACCTTTTTTATTTTTGTATGAAGGAGTAGTTTGTGGTACCTAATTTATATATTATGAGGTGGCAAAAGAAAAACTTTCTGAAATGTTATGCTGTGGATCAAGGATAGCACTTGGTTTTAAGTTACCCACTGAGAGAAGCTCAGATCAATGATTTGTGTACATCCCTCTGCAGGTGCTCCCACAGATTTTCCACTGGTAACACTTGACAAAGATGAATATTTGGTATGAACATTTTTGCCATATCACTTACCGTATTTTCCGGCATATAAGTCGACCTCCTAATTTTACAGTTAAAACATAGGTTTAGGCCTATATTCGCTGTATAAGACCACCCCCCACTTCCGAGGCAACACCAGTCCTTTTTTTAATAGACCGCTCTCTGACTCTGGCCAATCTGAGCAGGCTTTTTACTAGAACACAGTGTAGCTTCAGGTACAGAACATGTACACTGTGTTCTAGTAAAAAGCCTGCTCAGATTGGCCAGAGTCAGGGAGGCGGTCTATTAAAAAAAAGAACTGGTGTTGCCTCGGAAGTAGGGGGTGGTCTTATACAGCGAATATAGGCCTAAATCTATGTTTTAACTGTAAAAATTAGGGGTCGTCTTATACACCGGAAAATATGGCGTAAAGTCTCCAAGTCACTTAACATCATGGGAGGCCTGGGATTAGAGTCTTAAGGTAATATGATAAAAATAGTGTGTTATATTTAAGGTAGATTGCAGTTTAAAAGAGAGAGGGTTTGAATCATAAAATTGAATTACTACTAACTTATTTATTTGGCTAGAAAATGAAAAAGGATATCTGTTTATAGATATTTTGGGCATCCAGTACAAAATAGTTTAACCCCATCCTACTTTTTTATTTATACTTATTACATTTCTTTTTTCTGCCTATCTAGATATCTATATATCTATCTATCTATCATCACCATCTATATAAACATGTGTTTAATAAAAAATCTGCTCAAGGATTAAAGAATAGGAAAGGAGAAATCAATTACTAGGTTTCAGGTGAATAAATGTCTGAAAAACATCAAAGACAAAAACACTATATAAATACTGGATGGGCTTAACCCCAATTTTCCTCTTTGTTGGGTAGTAATGCCATTTTTCTTTTCAGCTGTTAGAGAAACAGCAAGAGTTGTCTACTGCTGTTGCACTGAATGCAGGGTTTACAGGCAGGCAATCAATCCATGGTTAAAAAGATCGCCAGCTTTTCTCAGGGCTATTATTTTATCCTACCGCATCCATAGGGGTGGCTAAATGGGATATGAGTTGTTTAATTCAATTCCTGCAGCGAGTAGTACTGTTCTCCCTGAAGACAGTGTTTGCCAGACTGTTATAATTTAAATCCCTAATTGTCATTGCAGTATTCAAACAGAACAATATTTGTACATAGAGTAAACTTATCTACCCTCCTGAATTCTTAAAATTAGTTGTTTGTCAGGTTTTTATTTAAATTTTACTGTAGAATTAAGGACCCTTTTTGTACCTCTGTCCTCGAGTCAGATGAGCTATTTTAAAATTGGTCTTGTATGATTGGGGGTTAGCTTTGAAAAAGCTCTTAGAGCTTATTCATTGTACTAGTATATTTCATCCCAACTGAGGAGGGCATTTATATGAGAATTGGTAAAGAAAGAGACATATTAATCAACTAGAAGCAGATCATAGAAGACTCTGCAGACAGCACATGACTATAATAATATTCACTTATAATAATGTTATTTTTTATAATGGTTTCATTACTTTCATGTTATTAGTTTCAAAAGTGATTCAGGTATATAATTTCTAATTAAACCAAAATTATGAATAGACAAAGTTATAAGATGATAGTGAGAGAAACTTATTAATTGGACAACTAGTGTCCAGCACATTTGGGAGCTTTGTTCACATGGACAGAGATATAAGGAAATTATGTTAGGTCTATATGATAAAGATATCAAATGGATTAACATGTTTTCACCTCAAGTTTTCCATTAGGAGTCAGAACAATGTACTCTGGGCAGATGTGCAGCCAGAAATAGACATATGGTCAACATGTGTGCTGAACCCTCATGAGGTCATGAGGGTCATAAGCTCTTCCTGTGTGTCCTAGGCATAGTGAGGCCTCTGTCTATCTTGGTTTACATTTAACCCAGTGGGTCTCGGATGCAGGAGGAGGCTACACCTCTCAGGAATGTGAGTACCCTTTCGTCTGGAAACCAGACAATATAATTAAACCACGAAGGGTAGCTTCATGACAACTAAGAAACACCAACAAGTGTTTTCTCACATCGCATAGGGTCCTACCTAGAAATGATGACATTATTTCCGCAAATTGAAGAATTAAGAATGACTATTCTTTGTGCCTGAAAGACATGAACAGCAGACTCCATTCCTTTGTTTGAATCCCAAGCTCTCGCTGCTCCACACCTGAGTGATTAGACTCTCGCAGCTGGGTATCGGATCCTAATATCAAAATCTGCTACAAACCCACTTGCGATCAATGTTTAGCAACAGAGAGAATGAATGATGGATCTTGGCAGGTGTCCCAGGCAACACAGAATTCAAATGAAATTACAAAGATGATGAGTAGTCTGATTAAGATTTATTGCCTATATTCACCTTGATTACTTATTGTTCCCCAAGCATTTCTTTCAGAAAATGGTAATTAGCATACCTCTGGGCTTCAAGCAGAACAAAATACAGGAAATTATGTGTAGAAATCAGTAATGTTGGATAGTGCTTCTTGTCAAGAGGGTGCTTAATGGCCTCTGAGTAGTGCAAAACAACAACAACAAAACATCTGCTGGCTGCTAGCTGCATGGTGCACAGGTCACTTGGCTCAGCATGAATGGAAGTTATCAGGGAAGAATTTACTCACAAAGATAAAACACAGCATCCCCTCACCTCCTCACAGTATTTCGGGTCAACTGACTTGCCATCACTTCGAACACAGTCCAACATCCTTGTTTTAATGCCATTTCCACAAACTGCCTTCTCACTCAGCTGGCACGTACTCCAATCTGCAAGGAAGGGAGCCCATCAGAACCGAGGGCCACACATGAAACAGATTTCAAATGAAACGCTGATGACCCGAATCCCATATTTAATTCACAACTGCTTCCTAAGCCCCACAATCAATCATCCCACATGCAGGGCATATGGGTCCCGGCTCTGAACATATCAGGAGTCAGATGGAATTGCCGGGGTTGCATGTCGCTGCAGGGATTATTCTGGAAGGCAGATGTCTGCTTGACCATCTTGATAGCCATTTGGTGATAGTGTGAAAATGGAGTTGGCCTGCAGATCAAGTCACTTAAAAACATTTTTTTCCTAATAAAAGCATAAATTTCAATTTTAATGTTACATTTGTTTTAGCAAAATAATCATAATTTTAAGAGATAGTACTTGCACTGGGCTATGTTCAAATAAAACACTGTATTTCAAATAAAACACTTCCAGACTTAGAATGTTTTAAAATATGCACTTATTTATTTCGAAAACATTTTGGTCACATTTATTTAATTATTTCATTTCACGTCTTTTTCAAAAGAATCCTTTCATCTCTCTTTTTTAGAGTAACCTGGCACATCCCCAAGAACTGCAATTTCCTTGTGTCATCAAAGAAAACTGAAGGGAAAAATCAAAAGGACCAAAAGCCGACCTGAGTGCTGGGTATCAGCGAACCATTTCTGTACTTTATATCTCCGTGAAAATTGCTTGAAAAAATTCCAAAATAAGCTCCAGTGTTTCCCCAAGCCATACATACTCTTTCCTAGAGAATGTACCTTGATGGTAAGAGGTGAGGATTAGGAAAAAATTGAATTTATAGTAAGCTTTTTTTTCCTGAAAAAATACTCATCTATCCATTTTTATCTGCACCTTTGATAATGATGAAATAACATATTTATATACTTTCTGGCAAGAGTGAGCTTGCTGTTGTTTTTACATCGGATCCATCATGCTTATTAGAGCTCCCACAGGAAGAACTGTCCCAGTGAGGTTCAGCAATTAAACGACCTCTGAAGAAGAAAGGCATTTTTCCGTAAACCTGACACCCACAGGAAAATCACCTTAGATACACCTTCCCAAGGTGGGAGGATGCCTTAAACAGGACGAATTGGACTATTCACAATCTACTGCCGGGCTAATGTTTGTGTGATATTTTCACTTCCTGTATCTTGATATTTATTAAAAATGTAATAGGTAAATATCTCTGTCATTAATAAAGAACAATTTCCGGCAGCCTGTCCGAAAGGCACGCGGACGGAGATGAGCCATTCTCACAGATCGCTGCTAAGCTGGCACGCCCGGGCTTTGGCCTTTAGCTCTGTGATGCGATGACCATCCACCTACCTGTTACGTTATAATCGTAGTGGAAGCAGTTTCTGTTCAGGTTACAGGGCTCCTTCTCAACAGCATCAGGACAGACTCTTCCCTCAGTAGCGGGTTGTCTGATGGGATCAGCTGACCTTTGCCGGAAATTGCTTTGATTGCAAGGCTGACAGAGAATAACACAACTCCTCAGAAAGGTGAATATACTCAGGCACACCAGGCTAATGTGTTAGGGAGAGCGCTGGAGCAGGAGTTAGTATGCTGGGGCCGCTGACTAACTGGAACAATCTCATTCCACTTCAATTTCTTCTTCTGTGTGATCAAAGTGTTGGTGAGCTTCTGATCTAGCCATAGGATGCTGAAGGGTTTATGCGTCAAATATTAATAGACCCATATCATAGGTTCACAACACATTCATATGGTCATATTAATTATTGTAGATCACTAATACAGTCATTATCTATCTTCTATCTATCTATCTATCTATCTATCTATCTATCTATCTATCTATCTATCTATCTATCACCTAATATAGTCTGTTGGTTCCAAAAAAACATTTTAAGGGTGACTGTAAATAACTTGCTGTTAGTCATATTTACTTCCCCCAAGGCTCATGTACATACCCACACAAATACACAAGCAGGTAAAAGATTGGCTTACATTTTCTTACTGGTATAGTTGTGTTCTGAAAGCATTTGGCTTCTAAGAACAAGAGCAGTAACTTCAAACCTGACGTTAACGGAATGAGGAAATCATTTGCATACCCTCATGAAACAGTTGATTCTTTATTACAATTTAACTGCATCCAAGTCAACTGCTAGCCCTGTTTTGCTCCTGCTCTATCACTTGGCTGCTAATCAGCACCTTTAGTAATATTAATACTGAGCTAGGAATTTAACTTTTCCTTGAAAACATGCTTTATAAATGTTTTGACGCCATTCTGTGTTGTATTTCAGCAAACTAATGCCACATTCATGCAGTTTCCCATGCTTCTGAAGCCATTCTGGTGCAGCTTTACAAAGGTGCCCAGGGGCAAACCCAATTTTCTACATCACCAGCCAGTTCCGTTTCAAACGACTCTCTTCCCAGGGTCCTAAGGAAGAGCCCCTATGGGCTGCTGAAACCTAGAAGCTTTTGTGTGATTTGAAACTCTCAGCTGGCTTCCCAGGCCCAAAGACACGCAGAGTCAGTGTGCAGAAAGAGATTCATTGACGCACAGCTTCCTTCTTTCCACTCCCTCTCTCTCCAGGATCATTTGTGCTTTAGTGTCAATCCTCCTGCTGCAGAACCCCCACTGGGTGCGAGATTATGCCTACAATTTAAGTAAAATGGATTGGGCAAAAAGCAAGGGATGACAATAACCTGACACCATTAAAGTGCTTTTACTAGAGGTTTATTCTTTGTCCCTTTACCTGGAGGGAGTCATTATCGCCACACAGTTCTTAACCCGCTGTGTGTTTGTAAGCCATCTGCAGGCTGTCTGTGCTGGGTGAGGAGGATGGTGGAGCACAAAGCCTGCAAGAGGTCAAGCTGTGCAAGTGTGAGGGGAAATATTGCTGACTTCACATGGCGCAGTCATAGGATGAAGAAGCCAAGAAAATACACTAACTAACTTGGTAAGTAATTTAGAATAACGTCTTTAAAACGTCAGTGGTCATGAATCAAGCAACCTCTGTATTAATGAATTAATGAATGACTAATGGTCTCACCAAAGTGCATCGAGTCCAAGGACCCCATTCGGATATCACACAGTCCTCAGGACACGGTAGTTTGCACTCTCTGGAACCCAGGGGCATCTCTTCTGGGTCACAGAGGTAATCCTCTACGTGCTCAGAAGGGCCATCCGCCGTGTTCTGCATGCATCTGCAAGAAAACATACCTATCAGTGAAGGAACCAGGACAGTTAATGACAAAGGCCAACCCATAGGAGGCTCATTTTAAGACAACATTGTGGGAGGAGGTAAGGGAGAGAAAGGGGACGGTGGTGTGGAAAGCTTTGCATTTAATGAATTCTTCAAACATGAGGACCTAAAATGATCTCTGCCTCTTATAAATATTCATAGAGCTTTGGTATGATTTTAAAAATTATCCTTGTGGGCACCGTCACAATTTTTAAAAAGTACTACCGTAGATTAGCCACTGTGGCCAGCCCATGTGACTCAGGTGGTTGGGCGTTTCTGTTTGATTCCTTGGTCAGGGCGTATGCTCGGGTTGGGAGCTCAATCCCCAGTAGGATATATTTGCGGGACAACCTATCGATGTTTCTTTCTCATCTCTCTCTCCCTTTCTCTCTCTTTAAAAATCAAAAAAACATTTAAAAAAAAAGTATAGACACTGTGTGTATATAAACTCTATATGTCTTCCTCTGAAAGGAGAGGATCATTAACCTAGACCCATGGTCAGCAAACTGCGGCTCACATGCCACATGAGGCTCTTTGGCCCCTTGAATGTGGCTCTTCCACAAAATGCCATGGCCTGGATGAGTCTATTTCAAAGAAATGGCATTAGAAGAAGTTTAAGTTTAAAAAATGTGGCTCTCAAAAGAAATTTTAATTGTTGTACTGTTGATATTTGGCTCTGTTGACTAATGAGTTTGCCAACCACTGACCTAGACTGAGAAGTGGTCCAAAGAGATTCATAGAGGGGTTGTAATTTGGGAATATAATCCATTTTTTTCTTCTGAACAAAATGGTAGATTCTATAGTGAAGGCAGATTCATATATGAATGGAAGACCAGTCACACTTAAATCTAGTGAGAGGTTTCATAAAATATTTCTGAAAGTAGCTGATGGCATTTATCAAATTGTTTGGCAAACAAAAAGATATTTACCACCTTATCTGTTGATAACTTTAACAGAGAGCCAGCAGTGGAAAGACAATTATCATAGGTATAGCACAAATTCTCTAAATGTGCTTGTTGGTTTTCCCTCTATCTTGACCTTTTTGATGGTTAGTTTTCTTTTTAACAATAAATTCAAACACTTTATTACATATCATTCTATTATCAGCAGTCATGAAGGGCTCTTCACTCACCTTTGGGAATCTATTAAATGTGACTAGTACCAGACTTCACTTGTACCATAGTTAACTCTCTGTGTACGTTTCTAGTAAAAGAGAAAAACCTTACCCCTCATCTATCACTTGGGAAGGTCAACCAAATTAATGGGTATAGGGACAGAACTGCATTGCAAGAGATGAAAAGGAAGACTTGAGCTCTTAAGCCTCTCAATTCCATTGTGATGTTTTAGACTGTGAGCTGAATTACATTACTAATTATACCCAAAATTTCAACTATTTTCAGGAATTCAGTAAGAACGCTGTATCTTCTCATATTTGCTCTGCAGAATAGCCCTTTATATAGTGCTGCCTAATTTAAAAGAAATGTTGTTTGTCTGTGTGATGCATTCAGGCTAAATAACTGTACTGTTGCTCCTGCCTTAATTAGCTTTGTAGCCTGAAAAAAAAAAAACTATACAAACACCCTCCTCTGCAGTTTTTGTAAATTGCATAAAAGAGCAATTGCAAAACAACAGAAAGGTAGATGTCTGATTTCATTGTTGAAAGAAAAATTAAATTATAAATGTCTCTGAGAGAATTTTAGTTTCTCAGGAAAAAAAGTTCTATCTTCACTGGCATTTTTCAAAATGTTCTGCTGACAGCAGCTTTGAGAGGACATGGAACAAATGGGACAGTTCAATACTCAAAGTTGATTTTGCTGCTAAGAAAACACTGCATTCATAGCAGGTACTGACAGGTACAAGGATCAACTTGCAAAGTTACCTATTGATTCAGAGTGAAGGACAGATGTTCAATATAATGTAGTGATATACACAAAAATTCATTTTCAAAGGTTTTTTTCTTCCTTTAACTTTTATTAGGCAGGTAACATTAATTTTAAGAAAATCAGAATCCTGTATAATAAAAGGCTAATATGCAAATTGTCCCCTTAACCTGGAGTTGGACCAGGGGGCGGGGCCAGCTAGCATAATAAAAGGCTAATATGCAAATTGTCCCCTTAACCTGGAGTTGGACCAGGGGGCGGGGCCAGCCAGTCAGGGGGAGGGGCCCATGCCCCTCCCCCTGACTGGTTGGACCCCACCCATGCATGAATTCACACACCAGGCCTCTAGTAAATAATAAAATTTCACATAATTCTATCAGAGATAACCACTTTAAAATGATATTTAAACATTCATTTTCCTTTCATTAAATACAAAAAAACTTTACCACTATTTGTACCACTTAAGAAAAGGAAAACTTGCCAAAACCAGTTTGGCTCTGTGGTAGAGCGTCGGTCTGCGGACTGAAAGGTCCCAGGTTCGATTCCGGTCAAGGGCATGTACCTTGGGTGCGGGCACATTCCCAGTAGGAGATGTGCAAGAGGCAGCTGGTCGATGTTTCTCTCTCATCGACGTTTCTAGCTCTCTGTCTCTCTCCCTTCCTCTCCGTAAAAAAATCAATAAAATATATTAAAAAAAAAAGAAAAAGAAAAGGAAAACTCACAAACAATATATTATAGACATCTAATTTTTCTAAGTTGTTAATTTTAATGACTACATTTGAATTCCGTCACTTGAATGTCCACAATTGCTAGAAACCCTTACAAATTATTTATAAGTTTTATTTATTTTATTTGGCAATAATGATTTTATTATTCTAGAATGATAATATTTGGATCAAGTTTTGACCTCAAAGGAAGACCCTATAAATTCATTTGCTTTTTTCAAATTCTTGGCCTTTTTTCTTTCTATATGAAAGAAATTATGCTGTGAGAAAACTGAATTATATTCAGAAACATAGTATAGACTCAAGTTGGAGGCCACATGTGTAGTAAAAGGAGGTGCATTGTCAGCAGAGAATTCAAAAGCAACAATAAAAATAACCGAATAGCTCTGTTTTTATTATCACAATGTGCTGGCACTTTAAAAAAAATGCCAGGGGGAAAAGTATCTCTTCCCACTAGAGCAAATCACTTTTATCACCCAGCCTTTGAAATGTCATACCACCCTAAAGCAAAAGAACAAGATGGAATATATTGAATCCTGCTCTCAAAGACTCATGTATCCTAAAATGTCACCCAATGCTTGCATCTAAGCATGACGTTTTGACCTTAATTAGCCGAGGTACACTTCTCAATCAGTACAGAAACATTATTACATGATCAGAGATGACAATCAATGCTGACCTTTTCTCTTCTCTATTTCAGTAAAGATGTTTACTGGATAATAATGTGATCTGAAAAGTTACTTAGTTTAGGATATGTTTGAAAATGTTAAGAATATTTATTAACAGAGAAAAATAAAGCAACATGTAGAGATAATTGTAGGGAAAGCTGAAAGAATAGTAGTTCTTTATTATAAACTAGAGGCCCAATACATGAAAATTCGTTGCAAGAGAAGGCCTTCCTCCCCCTGGCTGCCAGCCTGGCTTGCCTCCAGCACCTGGGACTCAGGCTTTCTTCTTTCAGCCCCTGGAAGGCACCCAGAACCCAGGCTGCTCCCCTCCTCATGGCCCGAGGGCATCTGAGACCCAGCTGGTTTCACTGGGGCCACCCACAGGCACCCAGGACCCAGGCTGGCTTCCCTCAAGCCCCAGCTTTGTCAGGAAGGTCATCTGGAATGATATCCAGAAGAGATCTAGTCTAATTAGCACCTTTTTATTATTATAGATATATCTTTTTTTACTGACCAAGAAACCAACCTAATCAAATTCTTAATGTAAGAAAAAATATTTTTAAATTCAAAGCAAAATTTAAATTTTGGAGAAGAAGGGCAGAAGCATAATTTCTTTCTTTTTCTTCCCTGTTCCCTTATCAACTCATTACATTCTCTTCCCCACCATCTTAGAAAAGTTCCTCTAAAGAAATAAATTTAGAGTTCAGATGGGCTTTTGAAAACAGAAACAGAAATTATTTTTATTGGAAGCAAGGTTATACCTAGTGTGCCAAGGCTTTTAAGATACAAACATTAATTTGTTCTACTTTTCTACTGAAACAGATTAAAAAATATGAATCTTAAATTCATGAGTAGGTAGGCCATGGGTGAGAATGAACTTCACAATATAAGTTATCAAGTTCTGGATGGTTTTATATTTGTCTTTACTGTGTGCCATTCAGCTGGTTAGAAGAAACTGATAGAGTTAAACAGTTGACAAGGGTTTGAGTGCCAACCCTGTCACTTTAGTAGATGCCTGTCCCTGGTGAATTAGCATTTGTGAATCTACTCTACAAAGTGGTGTGCTGCGGCAGCACAGCCAAGGTTTTTTTGTTAGCCTGAGTGGGGGTGACGAAGGATGGAGAAATGATAGACGAAGAGAAAAAGCTTCGTCTAGGTCGATCTTCGGTGTCTGGCCGAGGCCACAGAACAGATCCAGCCTGCAAAGCTGAGGCTTTATTTATAGTCAGGGACAAACAAGATAGTTTATGATGTTCTTGTGAGTTTCACTTGTTTTGGCAGCACTTGCTGCCCCTCCCACAGCCCACTAGCTACCCAGGGAAGATCTAGGGGGCAGTCACAAGATCAAGCTTACTTATGCTTAGAGGACTGTGCCCTCCAAGCTGGGACTTGTTTGTGGCTTTGCAGTCCTAGGCTTAACCCTATAACCACTTCCAACAAGTGGAATTAATGAAACCTCATACATTTGTTACCCTGGTTCCAGAACCCCTAAAGATCATATGCAAAGGCTGTAGAGAAACTTCAATGAGTGTCAAACTTGTATTTGGTGTTAGGGAGTTTCTGTGATTATGACAGGGTCCCAGCATGGAGAAACATATGGGGATTAAGAATAGTAGCAAACATGTAAAAAGGCCATTTCATAACAATGCCAGGTATCAGTAGAGCTCTCTGATGACGGGAATACCATGCTGTCTGAGAGAACAGCCTCCAGCCACCTGCGGCTCTTGAGCTCTTGAAATGGATCTAGTGTGACTGGGAAAACACATTTCTAATTTTAATTCCTTTAAATTTAAAGTGAAAACAGCCAAATGTGGCTATGGTTACCCCCACCAGTCAGCGTGGCCACAGAAAAAGAAACGAGGGGCATTAGCCAATGGGTTTTAGGGAAGGCTTCCTAGAACAGACAAAAGTATTCAAAAGTTGGGCAGTTTGACATGAAAGATCAAGAGTTTATAACAGATTACCATTAAAATGTGTAGAGGGCCACCTGGGAAGACGCCTGGACATTCTTTAGATTGTTGCTGACTGGGCCCGGGATATTGGTGGGGTCACGTCATTTGCACTCCGGGCGCTGGGAGTGCGGAGATGTTCTTAGTTCCTGGCTTGTGTTTGTCCAGGAGGAAGAAGTGAGTGGAACCTGGGCCCTCCCAGGCTCCTTGTTTTCCCAGTCACACTAGATCCATTTCAAGAGCTCCTTGTGGACTGGAGAATAAATAGATGTCCTGCGTGGCTCAGGGGGTCATCATCTGTCTCTCTAGCAGAGGAGGCCGGTGACCCTCCCAGTTTAAAATCTATCTCTATGTCTTCTCTCTTTATTTCTATTATTTCTCAATCCCTGGCCATCTCCACTTAGAACTGGGTTGTTCATCTCTCTTTCCATACGGGACTCGGAAAAGGGAGATCCCCGTTGCATCAGGCCCCCGCAAAAACACAGCCAGAAACATTGTGGGCCTTTAAGGCACCAGCTATTGGGGTTTGGAAATCAGCATCAGTTCAGCTCTCCAGCAAGAAAAGAACCTCAGAGCGAAGCTTCCCAAAACAGAAGGCCGAACATGAAAAACTGCTGCTTGAAGCAGATCTTTTAGAGTTTTCCATGAACACAGATTCCCCAAAAATAAAACTAAAGCCCACTTATTGGGAGGTTGGGAAGGAGTGAACGCTCAAGCTGGCAGGTACGGCACTGGGAGGTTTTCGTGTTCTGCTTCTCTGTGTAAACCGATGTGGGCTCACCTCACTTTTCGGGTTTGCACGCCCCCTCCGCAGTTGTCCGGCATGTTCACAAAGGTCACCTTGCACACGCTCCACGGCTCTGTGACCCACAGGTACTGGTTGCAGTCACTCTGGCAGGGGACGACCTCGTACACCTGAAACACACACAGTTCTCAGTGTCCTCATCCCAGGTACCTGATAAGAGTGGGAAGATTTTACATCACAATAATCATTATATACACAATTTAGCTGCTTTCATTTCTCTCCATTATTTGAAATTTCTTTGGAGTTACAGCAGGGCAGAACTGGCGGTGCCCTTTGCCCCACTGTAGTTGGAGATCCACCTTTGGTACCTTACTGAGACAGCACAGGGACTGAAGGAATGCCAGATGACAGAAGGAACACGGATAAGCTGACTACAAAAATGACGCCATCCCAGCTTCTCCTTGAACAACAATGAAGTAGTCTTTCTTATCTCCCTTCTAACCACTTCCTTGCAGAAGTTGAAACCACTGTTCAACACATGCTGTTGCTCAACGTTTGACTGCTACGGTACACACCTTCTGGGATGGCAGTAGTGAGCAGTCCATCCACCAAGACAGTTGCCAAGCAACTAGACAGAAGGAGGAAGTGGCCTGACCCTGACATGGGAAATTTCACCAGTCAGCCACCTTTGTGTGCAAATCTGCCTTGTTCTCAGCTCATAAAAGCTGACAAGCAGAGGCAGGTTCCCCCTCCCCCCCCCCCCCCCTCGCCCCAGTCAGTTTGGAGGACCTTCCTATCCCTAGTGTTTGAATATCAGCTTAGTAAAATTTGTCTAGAAATTTCTCTGATGGTTCCCCTTGATTTCTATCATGGGAAACCGAAGGGCCCCAAACTCCATAACATCACCACAGTATTGTAATTTCCTAGGCCATCGGTCTTATTTATAGTTTTGTGTGTCTTCCATACTTACCCCAGGGTACCCATATGTTAGACAATCAATAGAGATTTGTTAAATAAATGAATGAATAATACATGAATGAATTAATTAAATAGTGTATAAAAGTAGCTTTTTCAAATAACTGGGCTTGTTTATAAAATACGTGCAACAACCAAAACCTGTATATTTTTTGTGCTCCATTTATGAAACTAAATTAAAAGATAAATAACATGAAATAAAGCTATCTTCAAACTTTAGTTAGGACTAACGCAGTGAGGGCAACTTGAAACAAAGCAAATTGTGTGTGCACTGTATCCATACAAGCTTTCACAGCCCCAAGTTTGAGGTGTTTGTTTGAGGTGTCAGGATTTTTAGAACAATGAACAAGGATTCCTTTTGTTCAATCAGAAGAATGACAAATAAATAGTAGAAAAAGTGTTTAAAAAAATCATTGCAAAATCTGTAATTATCCACTTCCATCTCTTATTTTACACACACACATACACACACACACACACACACACACACTAGCATATGAATGCTTATATAATAATTTACAGAGAACACAGATTTAAATAGGTCTTTGGAGCTATTCCTTGGTATAAATTTTAGTGGATTAAATGCTGAAGTAAAGAGACAAAGTAAATGTATGCCATATAATAATAAAATACATGCATTGTAGAAGTAAGAACTATATTTACTGTCATATGATCACATTCATATTGGGAGCTGTATTTAAATATGACTGATTTCTGGTGTGGAAACATTACTTTACAATTTGTGGGGAAGGCACAAATCGAAGGGGAAATGCCATCATTCCTAGTCTTTGGATGGCTTGCATGTTAATCTCTTACAAATCAGTCAGAGCCTCCTCCTGCCACCCACTCTCAGCCCACCTGCACTTTTCCTCCCCGTGGGAAGCATGAGGTCATTACCAGGAGGTGTCAGTGCCTTCCCAAGGCCGGTGAGGGGAAGCTTGTTTCCCACCCCTGCACCTCAGGCCATGGTTCCAAAAGGAGAAAACACAGCGCCATGCCAGGGAATAAAAAGGGAACAACGGCAGAACACAAACTTTATGAAAAATATATTTTTTCTCCCTGTAAAATAAGAGGCAATTGTAGAAAAAAAAATACATTCCCTGAAATCAGGCGCAGAACAGAAAATAGACAGCACCTTGTTATGCAGGTTTAAGAGTTCTTACCTGTGCCTGGAGTGGTTATAGTCCATAGGAATCAAGATGGGGAGAGAAGCAAAGAGAAGTAAAATGTCAGTATATTGAATGTGAAAAACTCATGTTTCAAGTTTCAAATATTATTATCCCTATGGAAAAGACAATTTTTGGGGGGCGAGTAAATAATTAGAACACCTTTTTTAGGCCTTGGGAGAGAAAAATCAACTCACTGTTTAAAGTTAAGATACACTAATAACTACTGCAAGCAGCAGAATCAGGGAAAGTTTTAGGTGGGCAGGATGCAGACATCTTAGACAATGGAGTAGATCTCAAAATACTCATAGGGAACTGACACAGAGCTGCAAGTGTCTTGTGCTTCAAACTGTGAATGGCTATCTATTTATAGATAGATTGATTGATTGATAAATAAATTTACCTATCTTCATCCATCCACCCATATTTCATAAGAAATGAGGATTTACTTCCTCAATGGAAAAATCAAATCTCAAACACCATTTTCAAGTCAAAGTACCACCAATTATATTGAGGAATGTATAACTGTAAAAAGTCTATGTGACTTGAACATTTTTCAACATTAACACAAACCTCTGCACGTTCTTTGCTCTCCTAATGGCATTACTAATATATAAACTCTTAAAAGTTTATTTTTTAAACAAATTGTTTCTTGTTTTAGCTTTGATATTTTAGTTGTTGGTCTCAATATAAGACCAGTAAGCTGTTAACAAGTACCCAGATGTCCTTTTCAACTCTGCATGAGGCTACATTAAAGTTGGAGAGTTTAGAGAAAAGCCTTTTGATTGCAAAGACCATTTGGCATAAAATCTTGAATCTGCAAATGTACTATCAAAGGAAATTTCTATTTATTAGAACCCTCGATCAAAATTTAATAAAATTTACATTTACTGTTGGAAATTCAAGATTTCAAAACTTACAGGAAAGTATTGTTTTGTTTACAAACACTACAGTTGAGTTATTTTGCTTCTCTTGGTCAAGGAGTTCCATCTTTTTCTTTGGAAACATTCCCGAGCACAGGGACACTCGGTCACCAATAGATGGCAGCAGTGTAGTATGTTACTTACTTTTGGTTTCATTTAAGGGCAAATGTAGCTACTTGGGGAAAAATCCAGATTCTTTCAGAGAACTTTCTATAGAATTTAATTCTACACTTTCTTAATCCTAGTCCCTTTCTCCATAAATTCTTTTTACTCTCTCTACAGTGTACTTTTATTGCTATGAACAAATTTAGGGTAATTTGGAAAGGAAAGTTTGGGTCCTGGTAGGCAGTGTGTTTGGAGATTAAAATTAGTTTATGTATATATATGAAATATATCTATACATTTAAGGTTGATTCATACATATGACTTGGTTCATTTGATTGTGACTTAGATTTAAATACTCTTCTTAACATCTGCATAGACTATATCAAATTTGTACTTTGTTAATTCACACGCAGGCCAAACACGATAATAATTGTCTGATGTATCTTATGTTACATTTAAATTAGTTTCAATTTTCTTTATTAGCGTTTTACTTTATATTTTCAACAGAACACAACTATTAATAGCAACTAATAAAGAGCATCTGAAGTCAAATAAAGTCCAAAATAAGATATAAAAGGCCAAGGATTAAATTGATAGATATATTTACACTGATTTTTGAGGCCATTTAAAATTTAAAAAAATTTTATATCAACTAATTTCAAATGAATGAACAGTATATATTTCCTAATTTTAGATCTCAACTTAAATACTTTCTTTGATTTTAATTTAAGAGGTTGGTAATTGAGATGTCTTCTTCGAGAGTCTCGGGGTACTCTAAGAATGAGACAATCTTGCTCTTAATAACACACAAGTTAGATATAATTTTATTACAGGTTAAATATCTTGACATTATTTCAAAGGGAATTTTCATTTACTTTCCATTGCTTTATATTCATATGCATACATATGCAGGCTACTAGGTCTGTTGAGAATACAGAGATGACATATCTGATTTGGGTTTTTAACAATATACATGTATTGATCCAGGCTACTCTAAAAATAAGATGAGCCAAGTTTCTAATTCAGGGGCTATTATTTACTTTGGTCCATTTGGGGTGTGTGTGTGGGGGCGGGGTGGAGGGGGAATACATCATTACCAATCTAAATCACAACACTTTAGTATTGCCAACAGCAGAAAATACCTGGTTGACATGGTCCAGTTTGGGGCAAGGCCTTCCTCCATTATACGGCTTTTCACGCAGCCATTTAGACCGAACCTTCACGCCGCTCCCACAGGACTTACTGCAGCGGGACCAGTTGGACCACTCGCTGAGCTTGCAGTCGGAGGGGCAGGGGATGATGCAGGCCTCTTCGATGTAACCTGAGTGCAGGAAATGAGAGGAGAGACATCTCCCTCGTGCCACTCGTCCACCACCACCCAGATGCTCATTTAGAAGATCCAAGTTTGACTTGACAGCAACATGCTAATGCAGAGTCTCCATCGTTAAGGATTCAAATTGAATGGTGCAGGAAAATGACACATACATGCAGCGACTCTGTTAAAATAACAGCTGAGCAGCTGCCATATGATCTGCTCAGGACTCACGCTCACCACATTTCAGCACTCCTGACAGCTCCTGTTTAATTGACAATAACCTGTCTGCTGCCATATCATCCGCACTCTGCCAGAACGATTCATTAAAAAAAAAAAAAAATTACAACAGTTTTCCACAGGATCCTGTCCGTTAATGTCACACAAGTTCAAGTTTCTGGGCCCAAGCAATGTTCTTGCTCAAGAAGAAAGCCGGGCCCTTCCTTTCAATCACTATCCAAAAGGAACCTTTTACCATAACTTAGCACCTATGTTTCCCCTTCTTTGGAAATGAGGCCGGAAGAAGAAAAATGAAGACCGTTAAATAAAGTCTCCTAGTTTTATAGTGCTGCCAATTTCAAAGCACCTTCACACTTTGTATTCATTTGATTTGCTTGAAAATCTTATAAATGCATTGGGTGGGTATGGATAGTCTACTGGGCAGATGAGAAAGCAAATGCAGAGAGATAATTGCCAAATGCAAGGTCATACAGTGAGATGTGAGGAAAAGTTTTCTGAGGTCTAGTCCAGTGTTCACCCCATCAAATCACACAGCCAAGTCACTCAATGACCTACCGAATGGGAATGGGAGCATTTTCCTTGAACAATCCCTTTACCACCAACTTGGCATCTTACTAGATCAATTTAGCACTATTATTCCCAAGGCAAATGTGTAAGAAAAGCAAAATTTCTCTGGTCGAGAGTCAAATACTCTGTGCAGAGTAGTTCTTGATTCAAGAAAACACTGTCATACCACTTTACATCAAATGAAGGATTCGATTTAGAAATGATTATCACATAAACCATTTGTACTAGGATCTATAAGTAGATATTTTTAAAATATCTTTTTATTACTTTCTTGAACAAGAGGCAGGGAAAGGGAGAGATAGAAACATCTATGAGAGAGAAACATTGACTGGCTGCCTCCTGCATGCCCCCTACTGGAGATCGAGCCCACAACCTGGCCATGTGCCCTGAGCAGGAATTGGAACCAGTGACCTCTTGATTCATAGGTCAATGCTCAACCACTGAACCACACCAGCTGGACTGTGACCTTTCTTAAGGTGCTTAGGTAATAATTTTATTTCAAAATCAGTCTAATTATCCTAGAATAATAAACTATTCATCATAATATTGTTTTGATTTTTTAAATAAATCTAGTTATTTCCAATGTTCATTGTTTTATCAATTCTTTTTTGAAAAACATAAAAATCTTCAAATAGGTGGAGTGATCTACTTAAATGTTATATTTTGACTTTAAATATGGCTTGAGGTAAGGAACATAGCTCCCCTTACTATTTTGAGTTGAAATACATTTTAAATCCCATTACAGCACAGCCAGTAAACAAATTTATCTAAAACAGCATGAGATTCTTAGATACATAATTCCTGATAGGACCAATAATTTTTTTTAATATAATAGGTTTTTTATTGCATAGTAATAGTTTCAGAAATAAAATAAAAATGTCTAATTTCCAAATGAATGCCATTCTATCAGCAAACTATTAAACTATGCAAGTCCAATAATTTTTTAAAATCCCAATTATTTCCAGATATCATCAATAGCTTTGACAAAAGGACACTAGTATTTCAAAGGTAACGTTATTGAAATATTTCTAGAAGAATTGCATTTTCCACCTTGTTAAATTTCAAAATGACTGTAAAAGTAAACCTTTAACCTTTTGTTATTTAGTAACTGTAGTGTAAAATAGAAACACATAATCTTTAATGTCACTGCTTCACAGAGTAACAGATAAATGGAAATTCTTTCCTTCCATCGTCAGGTGAAGTATTATGCCATAGTGATATTTAACATGGATGACCTCAGACTGATTCACATTTATCATCAAGTAGTAACACTTAACACTGCTATGTATGATCTTCCAATAGCATATTCCAGAAATGTCTCTCAAATAAAACTCAAGGTATTAAATTGTTAAAGGATACGTGTAAGACCCTGAGACAAAACTGCAACAGAATATAATGCTTAGCTTGCCATTTTTATTTTCCAATGTGTAACAACTTCCAATAATTGCCTGTCATGTTCACCTAGCACAATTAAAATCCTTAATGCTAGAAGTGAACTGCCAGGTAATCATTGCTCTGCCTTCTTCACTAAGATCCTTTTTCAAGGCAATTAACACCCAACAGTCATGGGGTATAGAAAGACAGAAACATTTTATGTGTTTTAAGGCTAAATAAACTGCTGGTATCTTGTAGCAATTTATGGTGTCTGAGGAATATGGAATAAAATAAATGACTTCACAATTAGGGTGTTAAAACTTTTAGCAGTTCAACACTGAATTTGACACATGAAAAAATCAAACTCCTGACTTCTGGTCATATTTTTTTTGTATTCTATGACTGTTCTTTGAGGTCGAAATGGATGCAAAACACTAGCAGCCTTAAAGGGGTGACCAGAGGACATACTGCCTTTTAGATATATCACCTCATTCATTTGAACTGTGAATTGCAGATAAAGTAGCTGTCAACAACCTTCACAACTATTAACATTGTGCTGTTGAAAGGTACACTGTTGATAGAGTAAAGAAATCATTTTGAAAACACATGAAAAAAATATTGTCTGGTTCTGACTTACAGCTGTGTGAATAAGCAACACTGGCACTGTATGTGAAACATCTGGATTAATCCCCAAAGTGACCTCAAAAAAATCTCTCCTACTTAAATGTGTATTGTATACATATGATTACAATCAAGAATGAGAGCATTTATCTACGAATTTATCTATTGTTGTCTGTGTGGGTTTAAAGTATTTAAAAAAATATTCCCAAATGAACATGATATTCTTTTGTAATTATATATTAAAAGCTGATAACTAGATAACTCAGGGAAACCAAACAACTATGTGTATAACCAAACTTTTGTAATTGAATGTTGGAATCAACACTGGGCAATTAAAATTTTCATAGAGAAGTGTTCTGATAAATTGATATTACTGCAGTGCAATGCTATTTTAATTTTATTTATATTTATTTGTTTTATATATATATATATGAAGGCATATCTCTCCATTCTGCTAAGTACTTAAAAGATTCAGGAAATTTCAACATCAGTGTTAAAGGCTGTAGGGTTTTGTTGATATTATTCCAATACTGGAAGCTTATCCAATGATAAGGCACATTCAGATTCATAGATACATCTCTGTATAAGTTCATTATCAATGTCATTTCTTATAGCAAACTGTAAAGCTTTCTGTTATATAATAAAGAATTAGGTTGATCTTTGGCCCTGGTTACTGGGAAGTAGTCTCCAAACCCTGAAATTTCTTGAGTGGTAAGAGTATCATTGCTATTCATGGGGGGCCCCTTGTATAACACGAGTTTATGCTAAAAAGATGTTGGTGGGAGGGAGACTGGTTGAATTTAAAGACAAAGCAGGTGTTAGAGTGTTGGAGCTTTAAGCTGCATGATATCTGACCAACCTCTGGGGTGGGAAGGTTGAGTTCAACCAACCATGTGATCAATGATTCCTTCCATTATGTCTATGTGACGAAACCCCAATAACAATGACACCAAAGCTCAATTGATTTAAACATTGATGTGCAGGGAGGGTGATGCCTCCTGGTGCCATGGAAAAGAACATGGAAGCCTTGTTTTGGGGACCTCACAAGACCTTGCCTTTGTGTCTTATTTTGGATGGTTATGATTGTGTCCTTTTGCTATAATAAAACTGTATATGTAAGTACGATTCTTTCCTGAGTTCTCTAGGTCATTCTAGTAAACGAATGGACCTGATGGGGTGGTGAGAACCCCCCAATCTGTGGCCAGCTTTTCAATAATAAAGTTAATCTGTGATTCACTGAAGTTGTAGCTGATGTCTGAAGTGAGAACAGTCAAGTAGAGACCTGAGCCCCTCCTGTGATGGTCAGCCTAACTCTAGGGAGGTAATGCTGGAATTGCATTCAACTCTCTCTCCTTCAAAGCATCATCACAATGGGCATGTAGTGGAACTCTACTTTATTTTAAAAGGACGTAAGTACTTTTATTTCTGTAAGAACTGTATTTATAGTTTACTCATTCAACCAAAATAAAAATCTGGGGGATGCATTAAGGCATTTACTTTCTCCCCATATTTAACATTTAAAATTCTAACCAATAATGTATTAAACATCAGAGATAAGTTCTACAAAACTCACTTTGGGAATAGGATTTTGTAAGCAATATAAATGTATTTTATTGGGTGTTCAGATTATGAAGATGAAGTAATGGAAAATAAATGAACGTTGAAACTAATTAGAGCAATTTATTTTTAACTTCATCTAATATTAACAAAGCTCTGTTCTTTCAAATCAATGAAAACCATATATTGTCATGGAAGCATTTCCAAAGAATGATCTTTTAACCGGTTCTGGTGGATTATAATAAGTATTAAACATAAATTTTACAAAAAGCATTCTGTGGTCAAGTGAGTTAGAAAATTAATGCATTAAACTGGTTAACCAAGGCTCTTTTCCCTTGGCTTTCTTTTTTGGCTAATGTGAATCTCTAAGAAGATAACTCAGACACTGAATTCCTGTGGTTCATGACTTTTTCCTATAGCATCTCACTGAACAAGTGAGAAATAGATCATCCATAGTTGGTAATTATAATGCATTAAAATTGGATTCATGTTTTGAGCTGGACAGAGTTTTAATATTTTTCAAGTAATTCTTCGTATGTCCATTTCCAAATACGAAAAAACATAAAAGCAAACAAACAAGTAACAAAACCCCCAAACTTAGGAGAGTTTCTTCTTCTTCTTAAATTATAAGATATGCTTAAAAGTTTTAA